TGATCTGCTTTTGACAACAATCTGGCAATATATTTGGTAGTTTTTACACTATTGTGACTGACAGTAAGCTTTATAGAAACTCTTCTCTTTCGGCCGAACCTTATGTCTTTTATGACCAACATATATCGAAAAAACAAGTAAAAAGGCATTGTATAAATTCATCATCCGCATAAAATTCTAAGTCGATTTAACATCGTCCGTCAGTCTGTCTAATGAAATCACTGCATCACATCCGACATTTTTAGACGTAGAGCTTTGGCTCAGTAGTTTGTATTATGTCTAGGATAGTTGGAATTGAAAATCGGTCCACGAACGGTCGGTTAGCTATACCCCTTAACCCCTTTAAAAATAATAAAAAATAATTAAAAAGTGATTTTTTGAAAACATCATACCCTTGCAGATTTGGAAAACTAGCCATCATTTTAGAATTGGCATATCGGATAGTGTTAAAAATTATCGAGCTCTCACAACGCCCAAAATGGCGTATGGAACACATTAGCATGACACCAACGAAATAATTGCTTTACATAAGACATCTTGCAAGAGCTTCTAAATTTTTGTTTGAGATGTCGTATTTGAAGTTCGTAATTGATGCTACAGCCTGTGACCAAAAATTGTCTATGCAGGTCCAGGTCTTGGTATAGCTCCGATATAACGGAACTTCCCTATATACGGTATATTGGTGATTTTAACTACATTATTCACGGTTTATTTCAAGTTTCGAATTTGAATATGGTAATGGCTTATGACAACAATGCCTATGTAGGGCATAGGGCCGAACTTACTGCTTTTTAATTTGTTTTAATTCTTTATAACATAACCCGTGTCATCTGGGCCCTCGTTAAAGTGTATTCACACACATGTTCGATAACCAGATTATTTGTTTGTGTGTCTGGGCGCGGCGAATAATCCAATTTGATACAATGCAACATATTGCGAGTTCGCCTAGCAGTCCGAAACCTTTAAACTAAACAATTGATTTAATGTCAAATCGCAGCAGTAAAAATTATAAAATGTCAATAACGCCCATTGAAAGGCGAAAATAAGGCACAAATGCGAAAAGCTATTGGATCATGGTAGAAATACCAGGTAGCAACATAGGCGAAAATTACAACAAAGCAACTTTTTTTGGAAACTTGATATGTCAAAGTTGTAGTCAGGGCGAATTGTTTTGAAGTACAAAATTTGGGACAAATTGTTTTTCCAATCAAAATATTGAATCAAAAATTTTCAAAATTGTTGTTTTTTCTATTATAAAAGCAAATATTCAAAACTTCCAACATCGATTGAAAGTAATGCTGAAGCCGCTGCATCTTGGTTTGATTATAGCACGTTCAATACAACATTTTTGAAAATCACAGAGACTGGAAATGGAGTGATCGTAGTCTCCAGCGCGCCAACGAAGGACATTTGCGATAATAGATGTCCAATCGTTGTTATCTCTTCATCATCCTTACACAGCATGCAGTCTTGGTAACATTGGCAACGTTGATTTCATATTCAACAGCGATAATGTTCTTTACAAGAAAATATCCGGAAAATTAGTTTTGATGCTTTAAAATTAGGTTTTGTGGTGGTTCTGGGGTGTACCCTTTTTTCTTTTGCTGCATCGTCAGCTTTCTCGCTGTAGTGACATGCTACCTAAAAGGTACTTTAGGGTATATTTACTCCTCAGGCTTACTTAAGATTTGGATCAAAGATTGCAGAAGATACAGGGAGCTGAGTCTACTGTAAGTCCACGCATATTATTTGCTCAGCTATGAAATGTATAGCAGACAGGAAGTTTTTTATGTATAGATAACTTTAATACATTCGAACAATTTGAAATAAAACATTATCTCAATAATTAATCACACCCCAAAAATTGCCAATGTTTTGTTCCCCAAACCAATCCAATATGCTTAGGAATCATTCACCTTTCACTGTTGAAGCCCTATAGTGTATAACATAGTTGAAAATCCGTACAAATAAGATGATGAAATTTCATGTATCGGTTTATCTCCTATATGAAATTGATTCCCTGTTTCACTTATTCAAAAATATCCACGAATTTTAGATCTCCATATTACCTATGCCTACCATTAGTTGAATATACACTTTTTCCCTCATACTCTATAAAAACGTAAAATCTCGATTTTCTATCAATAGCATTGTTAAAGTTTGAAATCATGCAACAATTTTCTTATGTGTAAACGAAGGCGAATTCAAATGACAACAATTTTTTGACATATCAAATTGATACCAGCTGGCCTGAAAGGGTTACCTTGTAATTCTACCATGTATTGGATCACATATTGGTGACAAGTTAGTTTATATGTTAGACTAAATTCACAGCATTTTATAACATTTTTATGCATTTGAGTAGGTTAATGTTTCATGCTCATTCGTCACCTGATATTAAATCATTATTTTTATACCCTTGCCATTGGATGTGGGCTATATATAATATGGCTATTCCTTTTGTAGAAAACATTAATTCTATTGTTAGGCACATAGAGTTCCATTCTACCATGGTACAATAAAATTAAGGTACGGCTAGGATACCATATGATTGTATTTTTTTTATTTTCTTGTCTTAATATGCCAACTTTATTTGTTTATGTGTGTGTATTCTTTTCAATAATAAACAAGTAAAAAAAAATTAAGTTCGGCCGGGCCAAACTTTTAATACCCTCCACCTTAGGGTAAAAGAAACATTAGAAGAAATGTGGCAAAAACCATTAAAATGCCGAATATCGGCAGGTACCGTTATATAGGGGCTACACCAAAACGTGGACCTATAATTACAATGTTTCGCTACACGAACTAGGACCCATTATGACCCACAAATACCAATTTTTAGACAAATCAGTGAAAAAATGTGGCAAAAACCATAAAAATACCGAATATCGGGAGGTACTGTTATATGGGGGCTATACCAAAACATGGACCCATACATGCAATGTTTCGCCACCGGAGCTGGAACCCATTATGACCCACAAATACCAATTTTCAGACAAATCCGTGAAAAAAGGTTGCAAAAGTCATCAAATTACCGAATATCGGGAGGTACCGTTATATGGGGGCTATACCAAATCATGGACCCATACATGCAATGTTTCGCCACCGGAGCTGGAAACCATTATGACCCAAAAATACCAATTTTTAGACAAATCCGCAAAAAAATGTGGCAAAAAAAAACTAAAATACCGAATATCGGGAGGTACCTTTATATGGGGGCTATACCACAACGTGGACCTATATATGCAATGTTTTGCCACACGCTCAGGGACCCGTTATGACCTACAAATACCAATTTCCAGACAAATCCGTGAAAAAATGTGGCATAAATCATCAAAATACCGAATATCGGGATTTACCGTTATATGGGGACTATATCAGAACGTGGACCGATATATCATTTTCAATACCAACCATCCTAGACACAATGCAAATAGCTCTGCTAAATTTTGGCGCTCTACGTCAAATAATGTGGGCTGTATCGTGATTTCAACAGACAGACAGACGGACAGACAGACAGACAGACGGACAGACAGACAGACGGACATCGTTAAATCGACTTAGATTTTTATGCTGATTATAAATATATATACTTTATGGGGTCTAAGACGAATATTTAAGGATGTTACAAACGGAATGACAAAGTTAATATACCCTCCTTTCCAAGGTGGAGGGTATAAAAAATTGCTCAGGAAATATTTAAATTCGGATGTTTTCAAAATGCATATTTCAACGTATGCATAGACAAAATCTACGGATTTTGTAGCGAAACAAACCTTTAGAGATAAAGAGTGATTTTTTAAGAGCTTGATAACTTTTTTTAAAAAAAAAAACGCATAAAATTTGCAAAATCTCATCGGTTCTTTATTTGAAACGTTAGATTGGTCCATGACATTTACTTTTTGAAGATAATTTCATTTAAATGTTGACCGCGGCTGCGTCTTAGGTGGTCCATTCGGAAAGTCCAATTTTGAGCAACTTTTTCGAGCATTTCGGCCGGAATAGCCCGAATTTCTTCGGAAATGTTGTCTTCCAAAGCAGGAATAGTTGCTGGCTTATTTCTGTAGACTTTAGACTTGACGTAGCCCCACAAAAAATAGTCTAAAGGCGTCAAATCGCATGATCTTGGTGGCCAACTTACCGGTCCATTTCTTGAGATGAATTGTTCTCCGAAGTTTTCCCTCAAAATGGCCATAGAATCGCGAGCTGTGTGGCATGTAGCGCCATCTTGTTGAAACCACATGTCAACCATGTTCAGTTCTTCCATTTTTGGCAACAAAAAGTTTGTTAGCATCGAACGATAGCGATCGCCATTCACCGTAACGTTGCGTCCAACAGCATCTTTGAAAAAATACGGTCCAATGATTCCACCAGCGTACAAACCACGCCAAACAGTGCATTTTTCGGGATGCATGGGCAGTTCTTGAACGGCTTCTGGTTGCTCTTCACTCCAAATGCGGCAATTTTGCTTATTTACGTAGCCATTCAACCAGAAATAAGCCTCATCGCTGAACAAAATTTGTCGATAAAAAAGCGGATTTTCTGCCAACATTTTGGTAATAAAATTCAATGATTTGCAAGCGTTGCTCGTTAGTAAGTCTATTCATGATGAAATGTCAAAGCATACTGAGCATCTTTCTCTTTGACACCATGTCTGAAATCCCACGTGATCTGTCAAATACTAATGCATGAAAATCCTAACCTCAAAAAAATCACGCTTTATATAGAACATTATTTTGAAAAGAAATTTTGATCTTTCATTCAGTTTCCGCGGTTTTCAATTATTTATTCAAAATCAATGCAACAAGTTCTTTGGTTTTTTGATTGTTTTGATAGTAACTCTGGCATTACAAGCCAAACAGGTAGACCTCTCTATTCTTGTAATATTTTCAAAGTTAGCCTACATTTTCTTCATTGTACCATGAATTTCACTAGGTTTCGTTAAAATTAAAATTAAATTTCTCACAAATAATGTAATTTGTGTTGTTTCTTTTTTTCAGGTGCGTTTTTAATACCTTTCATGGTAATGCTCATACTGGAGGGCATCCCGCTCTTCCTCATTGAACTGGGCATGGGGCAGAGAATGCGTTTGGGTGCCCTGGGTGTGTGGAATACAATTCATCCCTGGCTGGGAGGGATTGGAATATCTTCGTGTATTGTAACGTTGTTTGTGGCGCTGTACTATAATGTGATTATCACCTGGGTGTTTTTTTACCTATTCAACAGTTTTCGGGTAAGTCTGCAACGTTAGAAATGATCTTGAATTGATTCACATTAAAATCCTCTCCCCTTAATTGTTAGTATCCCCTGCCGTGGGCGTCATGTCCCACCAACGAGACGGGCGCAATTGTAGAAGAATGTGCGCTGTCGTCAGAAACTGCGTACTTCTGGTATCGCACCACCTTAGACGCTGCTCCGTCCATGGAAGAGCCAGGTGGCCTCAAATGGTGGATTGTGTTGTGCCTCCTGCTGTCATGGACCATTGTGTTCTTCATTGTGATGAAGGGCATTCAGAGTTCCGGTAAAGTGGTCTATTTTACTTCGCTCTTTCCCTATATTGTGCTGACAATCTTCTTTATACGCGGTATAACATTACCTGGCGCCAGTGCGGGTCTAATGCACATGTACACACCGAAAGTGGAGAAGCTGGCCGACCCGACGGTGTGGCTCGATGCCGCCACGCAAGTCTTTTATTCCTTTGGCCTTGCCTTTGGATCGCTGATAGCCTTCGGAAGCTACAACACGCCCAAAAATAACTGCGTTCGTGACGTCTTGCTTGTGTCGGTGTGCAACGCTGTGACAGCAATTTACGCCAGCGTGGTCATATTTGCCATTCTCGGCTTCAAGGCGACAGCGAATGTGGATCGTTGTGTCGAACAGTAAGTATCTGAATTAGTCTGTGAATAACATCATGCGGTGGACCTTGTTCCCATTCGAACACGAATTCAAGATCATTGTTATTAATTCTGCGCTCTCACATACACAGAATGCACAGAAAGTCTACATAGTCGCCGAGAATTGTAAATTGTTTGCCCTGCATTGATTTTGCAGTCCGCATCGTTTGGCTTTGGGCGACAATGTGAAAAATGTTGTAAATCTTGATGTTTTTCCGACGTATTGACGTTATTTTTACACCCTCACGCCAGTGTAGGGAGGGTATTTAGATTTGGTTATTTATAAGTTATAACAAAAACAGTGTTGATGTGATCGAGCATTCGTCGTCAGTCCGAAGACAGACTTTTATTCGGTTTTTATGATGGTATTCTTCGTTTGCCGATGCTGAGTCTCGGTCCGAATGTGCATTTCATTATTTGGTAATGACGGGAAAAGGGTCTTTTTTGTGATGGTTTTGCAGAAACAACCCATTATTTTCAATCTATTGCTAATGCATACGGTATTTTTTTAATTAGCTTTTAATCCTGTATTTATTTTAAGATAATTGTTGTGCACATAGGAAGCAAATCCGGGGGAATCTGATTTAGTTGAGACTTGGCACGTTGTAATTTAGATTTGTATTGAATTTCGGTCCGACGCAAAACTGTTAAATATTGTTCACTACTCCCGGGTTAAATCGTTGAATAACAATAGCTCTCATAAAGTACGAAAGACTCCTCAATTTGCTTTAAACAACATCCATACCAATATTTCTACCAACATTATATATTGTGCGAATATGAGATTTATCGGTCCACTGCTTCCTTAGAAAATTGACATTTAGTCACTCTCATTTCCGGTAATTTCCCCAGAAAGGAGCAAAAAGATTGGATAACCATAACTTTTATGACCATAACTTCTCTAGGGTTGAAAGTATAATGACCCAAAGACAACTTCGACTTTTAAGGCCATGGCAAAATAAAGCAATAATATTTATTTGCAAGATCAAGCATCGCTCGGAGAATTCAATTGCTTCATAATCTCAATATACTGTTTTGTTGACTTATGAAACAAGCTACAACTTCTTGTGTTCTACTGAAATCAACAACAAAGATAAAGATGCATTTCATTATTTGGTAATGTAAAGTAAAAAATTATCGGTCGGTTTTGCCGACAGATGTATACCCTCAGCCAATGTCCGATTATTTAAAAATATTTTGACTTCTGTTATGAATTTTCAAACTCTTGACCCTCATTGTCCATTTCATATTGGACCTAAATAAATATGATATAAATATTATTATGAATATATAATAAAATCGAACATTTACATCCAATATATGGAAATTCTTAAATTCCATATTCATCCCAGGATTCGGGTTGAGAGGCATATATTTAGATATAGCAAGATGTAAAGAATCGCTGAGTTGTTTTGCAATTTATGACAGATAAAAGTATTGACAATTGTGTCCCTTTGTGGGTGAGGTATCAGAAGGGGTTCGCAGATATATATCATCTTCACAACAGATCTTGTGTTTGCAAAAATGTTTGTATTTGTGAAATTTGAAGAGAGTTGGATACTTATTTCGCTTTCTTTGAGCGTTATGTTTTTCAAAATCTTCAACGCTATGTGGAACAGGTAGCAAAAGAAATAGTCCGATTTCTAACATCTTTATAATAGATCTTGTGTTGATAGAAATATTGAGATGTACCATGTCTGGAATGGAATCGTATGTTGATTTCGTTTTTTATAAACTTCATGGATATTCAAAATTTTGAGCGTTTGTGAGGGAGGTGCCAGGAAGCGGACCGATATTGTTAATTTTCGCACCAGACCTAGCAGTGACGCAAATATTAGGATATGCAAAGTTGGAGCAAAATCAGATTTTCGTCTCTTTCTGTGCAACCATTTGACCTTCCGACCATTTGTGGGGGTGGTACCAGAAGGAGTGGACCTATATATTCCATCTTAACACAATACCTTGAGTTAATATAAATATTTTGATCTGTGAAATATGAAGACAATCGGTCTCTTACATCACATTTTATGAGAGTTGTAATTATGTTAAATGTTGACCCTATGTGGGGGAGGTACCAGATATTGCCCATTTTCGCACCAGACCTAACACTAACGCAAATATTAGGATTTGCAAAGTTGGAGCAAAATCGGATTTTTGTTCAAAAAAAAATATATATATTTTTTTTTGGAAATTTCGAACATTTGTGGGGGAGGTACCAGAAGGACTGGAGGATATACTCCATCTTAACACCAGACCTTGGGTTAACATAAATATTGGGATGTGTGAAATTTGAAGAATTATTCAAAATTTTGACCATTTGTGGGGGAGGTACTTGATGGAGTGGACCGATATTGTCCATTTTCACACCTGATCTAGCACTGACTCAAATATTAGGATGTGGACCGATTGAAAAGGAGTGAACCGATATTGCCCATCTACGAACTCGATCTAAGTTTGACAAAAATATTACGATGTACCAAGTTTGGACCAAATCGGATACTCCCTTCGAGAGTTATTGTGCGCACCAGCCAGACAGACAGACGGACGGGCGGACATCGCTAGATCGTCTCCAAATCTCCTGAAACGGATTTGGTCCAAAGAGGCCTAGGGTCCAAAACCGTTATTTCGACTGAAAACCCTGAAATGTTGAATATGTGTATTTTTAAATTCACAGTTGGGCCATAGCGGTCCATATTTTCGTGTATCCCCCACATAACAGTACCTATCGATATTTGGTATTTTGATCATTTTCATTTTCCCAATTACATTTTCCAACGAAATTGCTTAAAATTTGGTGTTTCTACCACCTGTGGCACAATATTCCCTGTATAAGACTACGCTTTCATAGAGTACCTATATTCAACGTTTTTTTATTTTAGTCAAATTTTCATAATAGATAACGGCGGAATCATCGATAACATTAATCTTTCAATTGCTTATAATTTCCTTAATTAACGAAATTTGTCGGTATGTTAGAGACGAAATTAAAGTCGTCGCTAAGACCTCAAGATTGATAAAATTTTGTCAACTTTTTGTTTCTATTTTATATGAGAATTTTACATTTGAAAGTTTACATGAGAATTATGCCTTTGTCGGTACTACCGAGAGATTTACCGAATTGCACCACTGATTTGATAGAGAAACTAACAACAGGCAACAACCCTTACTGCAGGAAATTATATTTGTAGGTTCAAGTTTTGGCATAGCATCGTTCTGTCAATTTCACTGGCATTTATAGATTAAAATTGAACTCGTTTGAATATTGAATCTGAATACTTTTATTTTTCAAGAATCCCTTTACAGCATTGTGGAGCGTATTAAAATTTCGACCCGGCCGAACATAACGCTTTTCTACACGTTTAGTGCAGTGATCTAGTGAAATATGTACACGTTATCCACACTTGCCAATAGCAATCTCCGTTCGGATTGCTAATGGCCCTATTCAATCAACGAGGTGCTATCCCGAACTATGTTTTCACAATTGATTTTTACAAAAAGTTATGTAAGCAAGTGCAGGGAACACGTGCTACGACAATTGTTTCTTAATTGTTTTCGATACGCTGTCATTAAGGCTTCGTTTGTGGCATTTATTGGAACCGACTGATTCCCAAGGCATTAAAGTGTATTTCGAACGTCGACGTTCTTCCATCGAGAAATGTAGGAAAATAATGAAATTGTTTCAAATGTACACGTGTATGTATGTATGTGTGCATGCAATAAGTGAGCTTTCAAATTGATTCCGTTGGTTATTTGTAATGAATCTATTCTAGGAAAAGTAATTTGCAAATTGGTGCAACCTTTTAAAATCGAATTAAGAATAGTTCATTTATTATGGATGGCCCAAACAACATTTCTGTCATTCTAGGTGGGAAACCTAGTATAAACAAGTAAAACGACATTCAATTCAGCCGAGCCAAACCTCTAATACCCTCCGCCATTAGGTAGAGTACACATTTTTATACAACAGTATCTGGATTCAAACGTGGTTCACTTTAAACTACAAACACCATGGGGCCATACTGAGGAAACCTATATAGACAATTTTATACTACAAAGATTGTACGGTTGTATGGAAACCATTGACCAATACCGTCAATGTTTTGACACCGGTTGTAGAATCCATTGTAAAGTACAAATACGAAATTTCACACAAATCAATTAAAAAATGTGGCAAGAATCATAAAAATATCGAATATCGAGAGGTACCATCATATGGGGGCTATACGAAAACGTGGACCTAGATATTCAATGTTCTGCCACCGGGGCTGGAACCCATTACGAACTACAAATACAAATTTTCAGAAAAAATCCGAAAATACCAACCATCTTAGACACAATATAAACTACTGTGCCAAGTTTTTAAGCTCAACTTCAAATAATGTAGGCTGTATGGTGATTTCAACAGACAGACGGACTTCCTTAAATCGATTATTATTTATGCTGATCATGAACATATTTACTTTATTGGGCCTATGACGAATATTTAGAGGTATTACCAACAGAGTCCCAATAAATGCTGTTTTTTTGATCGTAGTAAAATGCAGTGACAATTAAATAATATCCGTCTGTCTGTCCGCCAATCAGTTAAAATCTCTATAGATCGGTGGACCTGGGCCAATACCAGCTGTTTTAAGGGGCTATTCCAAAATATATACCTACACTTTACACTTTAATTCATATTAGGAAGTACCTTTACATAGGTGCTACTCCAAAACATTGATCTCTTAGAAGGCACGATGCCAAATATGGGTCAATCAATTGAAACATATTGCAAGGCCCCGGAAAGCTAAAATCAGGGGGATACTTTAATGAGGGTTATACCAAAACGTGGGCCATATTTATAATTTTTGAAAGGACATTTTCTTCATTCTAAATTCTCAAGTTACCAAAATTTGTCAAAATAAGTTTGAAAAATATAAAAAATACTTTAAATCGGGTTATACCCTTATATGTGGGCAATATCAAAACGTAGGCCTTCATGACCC